CGATGCCGAAAGATCCATTGCCCTGATCTGCTCCGATGAAATGAAAAAATCTAGGATCCCTGGGCCCAGGTATCTTGGCAGGTGCCCCGTCAGGGAGTGCGCGGCCTCGTGACGTAACGGATAAGGCACCGGAGCCTCACCCTCTTGGAGAGTTTCGACAGGGGATTGCGGGCTCGAATCCCGTTGAGGCTGGATTTGTCTCGCGAGCAGCGTGTCAATAATAAGGGCGATGATCGGGCCTTCTAAATATGATTGGGTTTTATCCAGGACTTTGGATCTCCTTGATTCAGAGCACTTAGCGGCTCCAGAGCTCAGGGGATGTAGCTCAGTGGTAGAGCGTCCGCTTCGCATGCGGAAGGCCCCGGGTTCAATCCCCGGCATCTCCAATTTTGCTGCGGGTTCCACAAGAAGTTCCAGGGTTCGACTGTTCCATCATTCAGAGGCGCATGGTGACCAATCAGCCACACTCCTGGATGAGAGGCAAGGCTCCGCTCCGCTCCGAGAACTAGCGATGCACTTCCGATCTTGGCTCAGAACGCGCGATCTCAAACTCGTTATGCTCCCTCCGCCACTCCTCGAGAACGTTTCCACGGATTGGCTCTCTCGGTTCCTGGGATGAAGTATTCTAGAAAATCCAAGGTTCGAGACTGTCGTCCGCGGCTCCATACGAGGCGTTCGGCAGGGGACGCAAATGAACGCGGTCCCCGCATGGTTCTGTCTTGGTCAGAGCTCCCTATCGGGGCGAAAAACTTTCTGTCATTCCGTGACTTCTAGCCCTCGTGCCCATAGGAGGGTGTCCGAGCAGCGATCTACGAGCTCGTTCCTCCGTCTCGGATGTGCTTATCTGCTTGAAGACGTGCTTCGCTTCGATGAGATGAAAAATACACTTTTTCCGCCACGAACCAAGTCTATGGAGCGGGAAACCGGACTTCGCAGTTCACGGATTGCCTTTCCAATTCCCGAAGTCAGAACGGGCGACTTCGTCCAGCCCACAATTCGGAAGTACATCATTCAACGTAGAGGTTCTCGAACCTTTTCGAACCGTGAATCCTGGATGATTTCTCCATGGACCCGAAGCATAAGATCTGAAGACTCTATCGACCCTCGCCCATACTTTTACAGAGGCTTGGCAATCGCGAGAAGTTTTCGAAGGTCCACTTGGACTATGAGAAGCATCAGTTCAGGGCGAGGGAAGTCGGAGCCGGTCGCCTGAAGTCCCGGCCAGCGAACAGCCGTCGATAGCTCAGTTGGTAGAGCGGAGGACTGTAGAGCTATGGCAGTGATCCTTAGGTCGCTGGTTCAAATCCGGCTCGACGGATAATTTTGAGTGGACTTAATTTTTCGATCGCTTGATAGCGGGAAGTCAGTACATCGAAAGCGGCGAAAAATCGGGTCTCTCGCCCTTTTCGAAATGAGACCATTCCATTGCTCGCTTCTTCAAAAGTTAGAGAAAACGATCCGACTGTGATGAGATCTCACTTCCCTATTCCGAGAGATCTTCTCCAGGAGTCGAGCTATCGAAGGACGGGGACTGCGGACGTCGAGGGAAGAAAGATCTAGACTCTTCGTCTCTCGGTTCCACGCCGAATCGAGCCCAAAGCGAGACCCGTGAGTTCGTATCGTAGGACCCCTCGCTCAGGTAACAATTCGACCATGAATTTCCCCGTCGCCTTGACCAGCTGTCCGGAAACAACTCCGATTGACCCTTCGGGGAGATCGCGCCCGATTTCTCCAGTGAGCTGGAGAGACACCCTGAAATGATTGTATATTAATTGTTGCAACCCCATCAAAGAAACCGCTGCATTTTAGCTGTGTTCTCCGGGGCAGTATTTTCTTGGTCGAACATGGGAGCTTCCGTTTAAGGGGCCTGGCACGAGGGATGAGAAATTCCGACTTTCGATTCGATTCGACGATCCTAAGCACTCGACCTGGGGAACACGCAAAGCATTGCTCGCGATCAGAGCACGCCGAGATAGACCGGCGCGTCTCCGTATCGAAAACCCCTATGGGGACGGAAGCGAGCATTCGCTCAAACTGTGAAGGGAGTCAAGCTTGATGACGATGGAATCTCCATCTTTTCGCATCCAGAGTCGAGCGAGCTCCTTACAGAGGAGCTCAGAAACTATACCCGGAGCTCACCGTGAAGCATGAATTCAGACCCGCCGATGAGAGGGGGAGAAAGCCGTGCAGAATATCAGGGCCGACTTCAGTAGAATTCCGAGCTGGGAGAGCTCATGAGGGCATATCCCTGTCACGGCCATCTGGGCAGTCTCTCCTTCCGAGCTGTCATTACAAGTCAAAAAGATGAGCTGTTTCCGCCCGGGATCGAACCGGGGACCTTGCGCGTGTGAGGCGCACGTGATAACCACTACACCACGGAAACCGATGCCTGCGAGCGGAGTCGCGAGGGTTTGATTCGTATGCGACTGGAAAGCTGAAGGTATCCCCGTAGGTTCCGGATGTCTCGGAAGTTCTCAGAATCAAGCCGAGGATCTCTGGTCTGCTAGAAAGCTCTTCACCTGAGGTTGTCCGAGTTATGCATCATCGACAGGGCTCGCAGAAAGAGACGAATCTCATAATACCGCGAGAACTGGCTGAATTACCATATCCTCATTCATGTCGGAACACCGAGTCGAGAGAGTAATTTTTTCATTACGGGAGGGATGTGGTGTTTATACCATAGTTGACACACTCTCGAATGTATCCGGCGTGGTCTAGTGGCTAGGATTCCTGGTTTTCACCCAGGCGGCCCGGGTTCAATTCCCGGCGTCGGAAGGTTAGGTTCCATGGTGTAATGGTTAGCACTCTGGACTCTGAATCCAGCGATCCGAGTTCAAATCTCGGTGGAACCTACATTTTGGAGCCGGTGGAGGATAGGCTTCCCGTAGCTGCTGAAGTCCTGATGTAACTTGCTTGTTCCGCGCGAGAGAATGTGACCACCGAGCCTTGATGATTTATGCTTCACAACACTCGATGTCGTCTGCTCCGCTACCATCTCCCGCGGCCATCATCAGAACACTTTTTTCTTGTGTTCTCGAGCAATCGGGCGAAACTGAAAATCGCGGAGGCCGGAAGCGAGTCTTGAGACTCATGAAAAATCATATATGAGAGAAGGGAGAGAATCTAACAAGAAGGGCGATGAAAGTTTTAGGGGAGAAGTACCGAAAAAAGTTTGCGTCGGCCGGGAATCGAACCCGGGTCAACTGCTTGGAAGGCAGCTATGCTCACCACTATACCACCGACGCCTATGATGTCTCGCAGCGCTCAGCCGATTGGGTTGCGAGCATCGCTAACCGAACGTCGGAGGCTCCCCATCCGTTTCGCAGAACAGCTCAGAATTATTGAACGCTACCGCAGGATAGAATCGAAATCCAAAGCAGATCGAGATTAGCAGCTTGGTACCGCGAATCATATCCTCATCGTCCATATCCGAAACTCAAAGAAATTCCCGAAATCATCGCCGGGTCCGAATTGATGTATGCCTGGGTGCGACGCTGGGGGCTGTCGATTGCTTACTCACTCACAGAACGCTATTCCGCAGCATTGTAATGAGCAGACTGATCGTAACTTTACCGAAATGATTGTTTATTTACAATTTGCGTTACTCCATGGAGTTGCTCATTCCGAGGATAATTCCAGTTCTCGAAATCGAATCCGCGATCGCTGAGGGCCTTAGATCGATGAGAACAGAGTTCGCTTCCGTACAACTACGAGATTTCTCCTAACAGACAGCACCGTTAAACCACCACAAAGAAAGGTTGAAAAACATTTTGATATTTGCTCGTCATGAAGACCTGCTTTCCCTCGGATACATGGATCCTTCCTCAGTTGATTGAAATGACTTTAATTTGGCTCAACGAGCAAGTCGACGTCAGGGTAGCGGAATCGCTTTCATAAAAAAACACACTTCCACACAAACACACACTACTTCGAAGTTCGATAAAGTTCTGCTGGCTGCAGGATGATATATTAATATTATCCGAGGACACGATCAGTACCGTTTTCTTTCATGCCCGGGGAATCGCTCCAACGGTAAGGTTCGCTCCGCTCCAAGAATTTTCGTTGACTCCCGTCACTTCGTGTAATCCTCTTCCTCTCCGACCCCGTTTTCGTCACAGAAATTCAGTTTCGGCTCAACGTCTTCCTCCCCGTCATCGGCCCATGTCCCTACCAATGTTCCGGGCGATTATTGTTACAAAAGCTCTCCACCACGATGATTATTATATTAGTAAATTTCTGCAGTATCTGCTTCATGACGTCTAAATACTGATGCTTCCAGCAGAAAACGAATCGACCGTGTCGTAAAAACGTGGCCTCTCCCATCCTTTAGAAAAAGTCACCCATCTGGAGCCGGCCATCATGTCTCATTCCAACATTGATCGTGGTAAAGTTAGATACACATTGCGTCGTCCTCCATGGTTCTATACAAGTAAAGCTTCTCCGGCCGTCTCGCTTCATCGGGCGACGCTCGTTGGCACTGCGGGTTCCTCAGAATTAATAAATTAGAAACACACTTCGAAGTGCCGAGCGATGTTTCGGAGTACGAATCAGCCAAAGTTCCTTCATTCCAATCGAGATGGAGTATCCGAAGGGTTCATCTCCAGTTTCCCCATCACTATTCGATGATCTAATCGTCAGCCTAGATAAATCCGTCGCTTTTGAATCAATACGTGTCGACTGTCGATTGCTGTTTCGGATGCGTGTCAGAATCAATGCCAGCCTACGAAATAGGGGAAGGGGTTCCAGGAATCCAGACAATTACAATGCTTTGAAAATTGCACGTCCAAAGCGGAGTTCACACAACGATGGACATTTGTCCTCTTTACCCGGCACAACTTGTGTCGCTCCCTGTATGCGCACACCTCGGTTTTCGAATCGCGGCAAACGATGTGAGCATCGAGCTTCGCATATCGTTTCTCACACAATGTACGTATACTGTATGTACCTTTGAGATATACATGATAGGCAGAGCGGAGATCAGAGAGGATCGATCGACATCTAACTCGACTCGATCTCATCGGGCCTCATCTAGTAGATGCCGAGTCGCTGTCCGATGGGACTCGCCGGTGATTGCAGCGTACACGAAAGCTGGGTAGTGTCGCTGCGCTTTGGTGGTGGCGGTTTGGCCTTTGGCGAATTGCACACAAGTCCTGGGAGATCTAGGCGAACTTGTTTCGGAATACGATTGTTACGCTCGGGCTCCTGAACAAGGATCCCTCGCAACGGAGTGGTAACGCTCCTTTCCTCCTCGCTGAGAACTCGAGGGTCTCGAAAGCCCAAAATCTGGTGCGCGGTGTGATCCTGCATCGTGGTAAGTGTCTGAGCAACTTTCCATTTCTTGTCCATCACACGATGAAGATCTCGAAGGAATTCGTCAGGGGGACTGATCATCGATGAAGGGCTCGTATCCTGCAATGGCGGAAACGGTTCAATACACGAAAAGAGGGAATCCTCGCGGCCGACGGAGAGAATAAAATGACCGGCGGAGACCCCGCGCGGGGGGCAGGGAAGAATTTCGCAGAGAGGTTTGAGAAAGAACAAAAACTTACAATGCGCTGTTCATTGAATTGCACGCGTTTACCGGGCGACGACAATCTTGTAGTCTCACTTCTGCGTGGAGGGGCGGGCTTCGCGCGAGACGGGGATCCGCACAAAGAAGATGCCCTGTTCAGCCATGACGGAGCAACTTCTCTTGGTAGACCCACACGCTCGTTCGTTGGAGTTGCTTGGTTGCTGCCACACATAGGGGAACCTGTGCGAAGATTGAGGTTGATTACTCGATGTGTTTCAAACAAATATGAGGCGTCCACGATAAGGTCCCATCGCTAAAAGAGGCTGAATTATCAATCACGGGAATCGAAGCATCGGCACTGAAGCAGAGCAATCGCATCGAGGCGAACTTACCGACGGTGGGCGTCGTTTGGTTCGAGAAGGGCGGACTATTTGTCGGCGTAGCCAAGTTCGAAGGAGGTGGCGGCAAGGAACATAACGAGGACGTCGAAGGCCACGACGTCTGGTCCCCCAGAGGCATCGGAGGGGGTGGCGGAGGCAACGAGTCGATCGATGTCGTACTCGCTCCGAGAGCCGACGATACGCACCCCAGGTTCGAAGTCGCTGAAAATTCATATCGGCGTCAGAGATCAAAATTTCATGTCCTCGGTGAAAGCGAGGGTTCGAGTCCCGCGAATGGGATCCGGTAGACTCGACAGGCGAGAACCAAGGCGCCTCCGATCGTGAACTAACCTTGGTAGTGAGACGATAAGCTCGCAGGATTCGTACAAGATTGTCCGTTCGCCGTAGCAACGATCTCCTGTATTTTCGACAAACTCGGTTCCGCGTATATAACCGATGGTGTCTTCTTGGGAGCGGGGCCTAGACTGGTTAGGTCTGTTCTACATTGGGCAGCCAGGTCCTGGGCTAATTTTTCGAGGTTCTTGGCGGTGAGTGGAGCGACCGGACGGTGCTGAGGCGACGCCCTAGGGGTCGCCTGACTGGCCTCGGAAATGTCTTCGAGACTCGAGGCATCCACTGGTGGCATCGGTAAGAGCTGTATCGCTTTCGTTGGCGTCAAAGGTCCCTTGCTGGCGACCATGGGGGCCGTGGGCGAGGCCACGTTCAGAGGTTGGCGTTGTTTGAGTCGTGCCAGGGTAGCAGTCATTTGCTCGTCGGTGTGTGATCTCCTAAGCGAAAACCGGAGCCCGGCCGTTCGACCCAGACTGCCGCCGGAACCGAACGACGAGCCGGAGACGATAGAAACGCTGTCGTCGAGGGAAGAGCCCACCCCACTGGCACTGCTCGAATCCTTCACGAGGCTCCTAGTGGTGCTTGTGAGCGGCAGACGGGGTGTGAGATTTGGTTTGCGCTTGATCGTACCGCCCGGGAAGTCGAGATCAAAGACCACGGCCGGGTCGGACGCCACGGAAGAACGATCGGACGACATACTGCCTATGCTGGAAGATCCACCGCTGGACGAAGCGATTGAGTCTCTTCGCCGTAGACTCGAAGGGGCTTGTGGTTGTGCGGTGCTCACTGGAATTTCGGGACTCGTTTCGCCCAGAAGGGTGGAATCCGATCCTGTCGAAGCGCTGTGGCGGAGCTTCGGCTGCTGAGTTACGTCGGTTGGACTGCTGGAATTGCTCGAACTGTCTGGACTCACGGCGAGCTGTTTCGCCATCGATGAGACTGAGAACGACCTGTGGTACGCTAACTTCTCGAGGTCGGCTTCAACGATGTCCCGTTGTATAGCATCGTAGTTGTCCTTGATCTGTCGGCCGTATTTTGCGATACGGATCCCCGTCACCCACTTGTTGAGAGTGGGAAGGTCATCCGCACATAGGTACTTGATGTTCTTGCAGGATTTGCTCTGAATCTGGGGATGCTTCATCGCGAATCCGAACTCTGATGGCGCTTTGTACTTCTTCTTCCAGCCTACGCCGAAGTAGACGCAGTTCATTTCGAAAGTTGTCAAACACACGAGATCCTTGGGCAGTTTGGACTTTCCTTTCGGGCAATAGTACAGTCCAGATGCACGCAAAACGAAGAAATGCTTCTTCCAGTGTTTCTTGCCCTCAGACTTGAGGTAAAGCTGACCTTCCACTTCAGGAACAGAAACTCCTGAAGTGCCAGGCGACAGGAAGAACTCCTCAATCAATCCCGTTCTCTGGTCTTCGTCGATGTCCAACTGGGTTTGGGTGCACGAGTCCGCGAGGTATTTCTCGGGCTTGGCGAAGACATCGTACTTCAGCGATCGTTCCTCGAACAGGATCCTATTGCACGAGTCCCGTGTCCAGAGGAGCAGGTTTTCCACGAGGTTTTCGTGTTCTTCATAGACACGCTCTATTCATGAGGAGATGAAGGAGGCGTTAGTTTCGGGTTTCGAGCCGGAATCACGCGTCGGGAACGGACGTCTACTGCCATATGCATCGGAACGAGACATCCGGAATCTCGGGGAACCGTTTGACCGGATGGGGAGGGATCTCGACTTGTATGAGAGACAGAGAGAGAGGGGAAAGAACTCACCCATATACAATTCTGGAATGGTTTCTACCAGAGCCCATTTCGGATCCATATTGACATGACTTTTCTCGGCGAGTAACTTTGTCAAGTACGCTACGGACATCGTGTCATCAACGAGCAGACTTTTTGCCGAGCCATCGGAACAAAAAACTTTGATGAAGAGCTGGAATATCGCCAAGGTTAGTTCAGTACCATCCATTGCCATCGAGAGAAACTACGTATACAAGCTCGACACGATAATCGGTGTGGGGTCATTCGTCGAATGTTCAGCGGGTGCCGAGAAGCGAAGAAGTTGTAATACCTTGCGGATACTGGCTTCCTTGAGTTTTTGTAGAGCCAATTTGATTTTTTCTTTTTTGACTTGCGCTGCTTGATCCGTCTGTTCGATAACGAGACGAAATGAGCGTTGTTAGTTGAATTTAGCGAAGAAGGGAGGATACTGCGAGATTTCTTCGATAGCGAATTCGCGCCAGAGGTAGGGGAAGTCTAGATCCGCGGAATTTTACCTGAGTTGTTTGCACTTCGTGGAGACCGACCGCTGTGGCGAGCTCCTCGTTTATTCCAAGTGTGCCTTCTTGCTTACTACTCTCTTGCGACGAGGACGTCCGTGCTCCGGAAGACGCCGAAGACTCGCCGGAGAGCATCGATATGGAGTCCGAGAAGGCCGAATCGTTATCGGGACTGTCAGTTCGACCATCGCTTCGCGTGGGGGCTATAATGGCGGGACGATAATTCTCAGGAGTGCGCACGTAACCGATACGTCGTGGAACTCGCTGTATGGTACAGGGATCAATCGCTATCGAGAACCGAGTTGGCAATCGCACTCACCGATAGTGCTGACAGATTCAGGAGCTTTAAGTGGAGCTGATGCTGTGGGTTTTGGATCCTTCTTCAAATTAGTGGTGGCCGGAGGCGATTCCTCAGTAGCGGCTCTGAGTCCGTGCAGCTCTTTCTCAAATTGGGAGCCGAGTGCACAGAGCTCTCCGAGGATTGCATCCAGCTCATTATCCTGGCTCTCTGCGGGAGGGGAAGATAAGCTTGCGTTACATTCACCGGAAATCATGAGGGGGATTAGTCAACTCTTCTTCACTGAGAAGAAGAATCTCCGGAAGAACTGATCTAGCTCCGCGGAAAGGTGCGCACGGCAATGGTCCAGCTGCTTCAGGAACAGGAACATTGCCTAATCTCTGCGTCATCTGGGGTCAGCTGACATTTTCGACTATAAGTCGATGGTGACGCCGTAATTGAACGCGACGATTCAAGGGGTGCTCATCGGCTGTCACCGTTATCAGCGCGATAATCGCTATTCGAAGTTGTCCGAATCGCACGCACTTCTTTCGAGCCTGAGCCACATCGTTGAATCCGTAGTCGCAGCACATCCATACACACACGCAGGAATACACCGGCACAATGGTTCTCTCCTCTCAAGGGGCCCTGACAGAATAAGAGGCCTACAAGGTCGGAAACCGCGGCTTTGCAGGAGCGGTGTATGAGTGCAATCGAGGGTGAGAACCTCTCTTTCCTGGCCGGATTTAGAATCTCATAACATCGCTCGCATTGGCACCACACGAAAAAGTTTCGGCTCTGACACGAAATCACACCCGCTCCACCGCTAATCATGCGATCTTCGCAGGGTTCAAGCGCGAGGTTGCCTGATACCTCCGACATCCGGAGCCAGATTCGAACGAGTGCTTCGTAAATGACATCCGTAGATGAGGGAAAAATCGGAGGCGATACAGAGGTTATTGAATCTAGAAATGAATTCGAATGAAATTTATAGTACTACTCACCTTGCAAGTTCAACATGGAGAAACTGTACGAATCCAATCTGGCGACCTGGGATGGTTCTCCACTCGATCCTCGAGCAGGTCCCTGGAGATGGAAACAAGAGGGATCATTAGTCGATCGGCCCATGCCTCCTCGGCGACGATATTAGACCACGGGGGAAAAACCAAATTCTGCAGGATAAGAATCCACACCGATTCGTCATCTTCCAGGTCGAGACTCAAGGAGTCATCCTTTTTGTCACACGTACTCCCGCACGTACTGCTGCCGGAAGTACTACTGCTCGAACACCACTTCAACATTTTTTGTACTCTGTACGCAAATGAACATGGGGACGTCAAGGCTACGCGGACTCATCACCGAGACTCTCCGCGTTCGAATGAGCTGCCGCGTGCTGGGGTTCTAGGCGCGATGATGTATCTACCCGATCACTCGCCAGAGGCGCTGGTATCAGCGTCAAGCGTCAGAGGAGCAAGCGTCAGAGAACCGAGCGCTTGAATGGGGCACACGACAAGACACGTGGGCGGCTACGAGGGAAGCGAGCGTGTCAGGTTGCCTCACGCTTGCACGTTCGAATTAACTCGGGAGGCAATCTGGAAAAGGTTCCGCAACCCGCTGGCGATGTTGCGTTCCGAACGCTTTTCTGATCCTGATCGGTCACGCGGTCCGTGCAAGCCTCAGCGCCGAACTCTCGCACTCTGTCTAGCGGGACGGCAGATGGCAGCCAGAGAACAAGACACTGCTTACTACTGCCACGGTGAAGTAGGAGGGGGCTCAGGAGCCAGAGCTCACCTGCCGTGGGGCGCGTGCATCTGGTTGGCACAGACTCAGAAATAAGGTTCGACGCGCGAGTAACTGTACCATTCGACTCACTCAGTCAGACTGATAGAGAATCCGCTTGAACGAGCGATAGACCAGACGCTCTTCAGGTCACCGCGAGCACGCGCATATGTCTAAAGTCCCGCTTTTATTCCTTCACCGAGGCTCGAGACATTTTATGCTACTTCCGATAATCATCGAGAGCGCCGGCGCTGCTCCACGCGCACCTGCGGCGAACATAGTCGAAATGAGTGATTTTCCGGGATGAATCTCCCCTCTAAACGCTTGCGAAGACCGTCACGTTGTGAAGGGCTTCAAGAAATCATTAAGGTCGACGGAAACTTCTGATCGGAATCCCTGAACAATATTGACCGGGGACCGGTCATCATTTGAACGCTCATAGGCAACTACATTTCAAGAGTCGAGGCTTGGACAAATCGGGAAGCAGCATCATATTGCGCGTCTCCATCATAACCAGCCGATCTCTCTCCAGCTAATTAACATCAGCGATTTGGGAGGGCCGGAAAATTCCGCATGCCGGTATGCGTGCTGCGTAAAGTCGTATTCGCAGGAGGATTAAGGTGGACGCTCCAGTGGGGCTTCTCTCCGATGTTTGTTTCGGTACTCGCGGTGGTGGCTGAGATGGGCTACGTAGTAGTTGTAAATGGAAGTCGCAGTAGGCAAACAACTCCCGGAGGGCCCCGCACCGCAATCAAAGGCAACATAGGAAACACTATGGGCTCGTAGTATTTTGCTCTCTCCTCTCAGTCTTCCTCTCCTGCTCGCAGTCGAATCTCCGGTGCGATCGTGTGCGCCAATCGAGCCGACTTGTTTTTGGCATTCGCCGCTGTTGTTGCCGTCACCGCCCCCGGTGTTGTGGGGTTCGTCCTGTTTGTGACAACCCGAAACACACCTTGCTATCCTCCCCCGACCGCGTCTGCAGGCCCTCGCGAGCTGCCTTTTTCCCGCGGACTGCCACCTGGTTTGACTCCCTGCAAGTCTGCATTGGTTTTTACTTTCAGACGTTTGTCTGCTCGGCCCGATATAGGCTCCGATACCTCCGCAATAGTCCCTGTGACGTTCATGCGTAGAAACAATGGTCTGGTCGGTGAAAGCCCACAAGGTGCGTGGAGCTCGACTCCAGCAAATTACTTCCTGTCGACATCGAGTTAAGCCTCGCCGTCGTGTCCTCGTCTCCACGAGTTTCTCTTTCGCGTCTTGATGTCATCGCCGACGCCGCTCTCATCGTTCTCGACGTCGTCGTCGCTGTCCTGTTCTCTGACTGAGTCCGTTCCCCTACCTGAGCCGGGTTTAGATTAAAACCCGGACCGGGAAACGCGCTGCAGCTCTACCCGCTCCAACGCTGCTCGTCGCTAACGTCTGAGAGCTAATTAGCTTTTACAAACGACTGCGAGCGAGCCTTGCGTCTTTTCAGCACGGGGCGCTCGTACTTTCGAAACAAGCTCAAAAAGATTCATATGAACCCTATCTCGGACCTTCAAGAGCATATCCAGGGTGAAATATCTGAGTCGAGCGAAAATCAAGGCTAGGTAGATTTTGGGGTGGTGCTGGGGTGGTCGGGAATTTCAGGCGCCGCAATCGGATGAACGCTTGGATCAAGCGAATTTAAAATAGCGTGCTTTTTCAGAGTGCGATTCCAGCTGCCCTTCTCCGTCGGCTCGCGCCTGAAACTGACCGGGGAGCTCGGGGCGCGAGCGTTGGAGCAGGATGAGGTCGTTGGGGGCTTTGCCTCGCAATCGGTTCTTTGGAGGTACATCAAGCGGGAAAAAACTTCGTTCCGGTAATGTTTATCTTTTTCGCGAATCTGACATTGCTACGCAGGCAAGTTCATCCGGCGCAAACCATTTTGTTTCCGTTACAGGGTGAGTCCGTTCTCTAGTGCTGGTGGAAAACGAAATCACCGAGAAAGTCCGTCTCAACGACGGGTTTCGGGTCGAGGAAGGTTTTTTAAGTAGTCGATTGGTGAAATTCAGCGTCCCAGCGCCGGGGCTAGACGTTCGATATTCGAGTTTCAGCAAGTTTGCCTCCGGGTATCGGAACCCACCAGAGCCTCCTGAATGAGGTTCGGGCACAAAATGAACTTCTTCTCAACTTTGCCAAACCACCCCATGGATTAAGAGACGATAGGCCGTTCCACAGCCCGCGGTGAACATGTTCTCGTCTCACGTGCACGTTGTTTCCCTAAGCTGCAGGATCCCGTCATGATCCCAGTCAGTGAGCGTAGAGCGGACAGCTCAGGTCTCTCGCCCCTCGGAGGGAGTTCCAAAGACATTCAAGGCTTGGATACTCGGTCATTGCCATAGGCATTAGGAAAGGTTGGGTCTCCCCCGTTTGAGCTCTTCGTTTGTGGATGTTTTCAAGCGATCCAGGTTTCCGGAGACGATCGACAGTCTCGTGATTCCCTGCTAATTTGACGGATCGTCACATCTCGATTCGATTACGACCTCGGGAAGACCTATCGAGCACAAGTCGTACGTCGAGCTGGATGAGTGACGATCGGGACGAAAGCTCGCACCGGTGACGGTCTTTGCCCGAGCTAGGAGGTGAGTGCAGAGACAAAGCTGTACGGGCATGTTCCTTCCCATGCGCGATAGCCGGAACGGAAGTTGAGCTTGGGCTCGCGGAGATATGGTACCTCGGTAGGCGAGAGCTCAGTTTCTCGCAATGAATTTTGGTCGCGTCCCACTACAGGGCGCGCCCTCCCTCCGCAGCTTATCGAGTGATGACTCGCTCATTAGTTCGAGGAGCGGATCAGAGCTAGGCAAGAGAAATAGTTGCTACACAACAAACACTTCATCATCAACACAAATTGGAGTGCATATCACCCAACAGCATTCCTGTCTGCCGATCACAGGTGCACCTCCCTCATACATAGGGCGCAAAAGCATTCCGATTCGCGAGGGCTTCAAGAACAACGTCGATGACGGTGTTCGATTGAGGATCTGAACAGATGAAATCACAGTTGTTTGGTGTGAGACGCGAGGTGGTCCTCAATTCAAAGTAAAAAAACATCAGTATGTGGGGTCGCCTTCTCCTGCTGCGAACGGGATGCCCCTTGCATACTGCGGTGGCGACGACATCAAGAGCGGTTTAACGCCAAAAGACCCTCGGATACGACGGAATTCCGTGTGTTCGCTGAATGTCGTTCTCAGGGAGCCTACAACAGCGGGCACGAGAATGGACTACGGCGAGATAGTTTAGGGGAAATGAGGAGCTATTAAAATCAACCATCGAAATGTGCGAATTCTTTTTCGTAGGCGTTTCCGAGTACTGTCGATCGGACAAGCGAGGACGCGAGGACGAGGAGTTGAACGAGCGATCGGATTGTCTGAGCGGGGAATGACAGCGAGAATCGTTTACACTCTCGACCCACATCAACAGTGCCGCCACCGCCACTACTGAGAGCGGAAGAATGCTTCTGATTCCAATGAGTCGTGCGGTCGAGCGCTGCATCGATCGAGAGATGCTGATTAGCCCACGATTATTCCAATACTTCGGGGATAGAGTCGATCGGATCAGCCCATTGGGTCTCGATTATGATCGGATCGGAGTGGTGGGTCTCTTCAACGTCGAGCGATCATGGACTCCCGCTCTGAATGAGTTATCAGTTATCAGTGACTTCTTTCAAATCGGAGACAACTTAGTTTAGGGATCGAATTCGGTTTCAATGCTTAGCTTCTCGCAAGAATGCGTCTCCTAGCAGGAAACGATTTCATTGAGAAATTCTTCGGATGCTCATCTGCTACGGATCCGGTTTTGTTTCTTGTTGACGACAAACGTTCCTGGAATATGTATAGTAGTTCAACAGCGAGCACGAACTGACACGCTCGCGGCCTCACGGATCTCCAGACCTGTAGGCCTCCTGTCTTCTACGGGAGTCGCTACTCAGGTAGTAATTGAGGTCCGTTCGTCGGTAGCTCGGTCAGTCCGTTAGCCGGTCGGTCAGTCACTCGTTCAGCTGGTGGGCCGGCCGACCAATGGATCGTCCGGTAGGTGTACGTTCGGGCACTCAGAGGCCATTGTTGGGGGTCATCGGTAATTTAGCCAGATTGAACACTCTCACCGAATCGCACTATCAACCTTAAATCCTACACGCGTCCCCCCCCTCCCGACGTGTACCTATTCTTACATACGTAGCATTCCATCCGAAGTTTCTGATCGGGTCAGGACCTCCATCATTCCAGCCTATCCGTTCTGTGCGTCCTTCCGTCAGCGGCTGAGACAGCCCCGAGCTCTCTTCAAACGGAAATTGGATGAAGGATAAAAAACGTTCTCTCGCCAAGACTCGCACCGGACCTGGTCTTCGCTCCGGCGCAGGCGAGCGCCAAGCCTGGCGTGAAGGCAACGCCGTGATGTTCGAGGTGATGCATCATATCGGTCATTCATTATATTTCACCGACGCTTCGGTGCAATGGATGCTCACTCCGTTACCGTCAGCGCAATTATTAGAATAAACGGCCCC